TGATTTTCTCAACAAGACAGCCATTGACACTGGATGGATGGGGCTAATCCGACACAGAGAGGAACAGCTCCATCGGGGTTACAGGTCTGAGATAGAGCGCCCTCAACACACTCCCCTCACCTAATCTTCCGGCAAATATTTATCACTATCAATTTGGCCTGACTCCCTGACATTAAAATAGCACGTATAGCTAACCTCTCACTGGAGAATCGATCGTGGGCTCCTGCTGGCCCGTCCAGCACTGTCCCCCTGCGTAGCAGAGCAGAGGATCAGATGAAGGTCTTAGTGGCACATCACACCTGATACCGAACAGGTCATCTGTGCTGCTGCTGCTGTGCCCAGTCGAACAGGTCATCTGTGCTGCTGCTGCTACTGTGCCCAGGGAGGCCTTGTGCATTTTAATACCCCAGGCTGGGCAACAACATGTCATCAGTCTGTTCGCACTTATAGACCAACGAGTCTGGATGAAATAAAGAGTGGAACATTTGATGCTTTCTGTAAGAGTCCAGGTTCGGTCTAGTGTCTGCCAACTTCACCATTCACACTGTCCTTACTCCACAGTCACCGTATCCTTTCATTTCAGCACAGACTCGGCTATGGGCCTGATGTGTCGCTTTATCAGTTTAATGAAATATAAAGCCTTAGGAAACCCCAAATACTGAAAAACCTTTTAAAAAATGCACAAATTATTAATGATATCACTGAAAACTATTAACACAGACCAGTTCAAGGTTGGAAAAAAAAATCTATTCTTGCACTCAAACACAGCAGAACCATGTAAATAGGTGTAAATAAAATGATCATATTGCAACTTTAAAATGTTTTCACAATTTTAAAAATGTTTTATGGTCTAAGACATAAATGTGATACTGTGTGAAAGCTCTGAGTCAGCACTTTCAACTGGTTCTGCTCTACAATATATCTAGTTAAATGTTATGTTGCAATAAATAAAACTTACAAGTTATTGTTTGTAACATGTTTTACCAGTTTTACCACTAGAGGAAAGTAACTAAGTACATTTACTCACATACAGCACTTTACTTACTTTACAGGTTCAGATTTAAAAAACAAAAACATGATATTTTTACAAAACATGCTGCACTGTTAAAGAAAATACTTGTTATTATTGTTGGTTATTATTATTTTCTTTTACTAAATTTGTTTTCTTTTTTAATTCTGTTTCTTCTTTGTGTGATTCTGCTAGCCATATTTCTCATGTGGGACAAAATATATTGAATACATTTTTAACATGTTTGAACAGCAACAGTGTCCCTGAGTCTGGATAATCACCTGAACAGATTTAAGTTCTTTCTAACGAAGAATGAAGTCTGGGGATTTTCCAGAGTAACTGTCTCTGTAAACATATGATATTGTTGATCAGTTTTAAATCGCATCTTTTAGTGCTGGGAGGAGACAGACACACAAACCTCAGAGATCTCAAAACGTGCGCAAAAAGGTTAGTTGGAGAATTATGGCACTTTGAGTGCAATGATTCTTTGAGGTCTGCGAGAAAAGCTACTACAACGGGTTCAAGAAATGCAAACAGCCAGTAATGAAACACTTCTCTTTTGTCGTCAGCACAGTCACAGATATTATTTTCCCAGCTTTATTATAATTCAGAGGAAATCACATAAGGCGTCTTATGAAAAGGGAAGAGAGGAGACTGGGTTGTGTTTTCTCTCCATACAAACCTACAGAGCACCAGCTGATTTCTCGCCCCCCCCTCCCGCCTCTTCTTCTTCTCGCTAATTGAACGACGGGGGTCATAAAAC